ACTTCTTTTAGATTCCGCTCACATTTCAATCCCCACCACCCCCACCTAGAGACTCTTCTCTGTAGTCCCACCCTACAGCTGGTACCAGATTCCTTTATGTATTCCTATAAACATGATGACCGACAAAGTGACTTAGTATAATTTGGTTCTATATTCCAAAGTAGACTGTGAGCTTCTAGGATATTTTAATCACTCTTATAAATGGTGCATTAGTAAATAACCTGTTTATAAACATATTTGGTTGTTCAGAATTTAGAATCTACTTTATCAGAGAAATAAAGAAATAACTGGCACTTATTATCCCAAATTAGTTGATAGGCTATTACAAAAACCATACTCCAAATTGTTAATAACACAGTATACATTTGCAACAGTCTGGAGAAAAATCATTTGCAAACATTTAGTGTTTCTGTTAGATCTGGGGCAAGTGTAGACATCCAGTCACCCACTTGAACTCTAACTGCATGCTGGCATCAAATCCTCTTCCAGTGGAGCCCCACGACTCTGTCCCCTCTCCTCAGAGAGAACGTGGGGTTTGCAGCTACAGCAGTCGGATACACAGGAAGCATGCCAGCTGAATGCTTAGGTAACAGCAGTCACTTGCAAATACATCACCACATTTTCTTTTCAATGTATATATGCCAAAACCTCAAACTAATACTTTTCTGCATGAACATCATTTTATAATCTTCACAGACCCAGGACATATGTTAAACTTACAAAACTTTAAAAAAAAATGTTAACTATGTATTGAATTCAGTTGAAATGTATTTACTTGTTAAAATACTAAAAGAGGACAAATGAAATATAGATTTGACCTCTTCTGAGGAATTTTTTGGTGGCTGGGGAGGAAGGGGTGGTAATGATCAAAGGATAAAATCTTCCAGTTATAACTCAGGGACCTAATGCACAAGAAGGTGATTGTAGTAAATAACCCTACATTATATTAAGAAAAATTATCTTGGGCAGTGAGACTTATGCAGGCCAGTACTGTCTTGTTACTTACAGAATCAACTTGTTCTGTGTTAAAATATAACATTAGTTTTCAAGATACCCAAGCCAACCATAAACACGATTTAATTTCTGATGAAGTGCCTTTTGCTCCTACTCCTCCTCTTCCCAAGGCCCCACCACTCATTTCACTTTTTGTAATTAGAAAACAATTCCACATAAACTAAGCCTATAAAACATGTCATGAATGTAGGGAGTGACTAACACTGACATGCTTGAGAAACAGAGCCCTCCAAACCTCTACTTATAGACAGCTGTATACATTTCCTACACTGCCCTACACTTTCTTCAACTCTTCACCAAGAAAAAATATACTGTAATAAAGCACCATTTTTAAAAAACTAAATAAAAATTCATTCTAAAGTTGGTTTTTCTTTTTCCTCACTGAAAACACATCCATTTAATTTGAAATCAACAATCCATGATCTTGTTTTTACGAACCACACATAGAGAACACTGGGAGCCCAGGGAACAAGCACACAGCAGTCTCCCCACTACGGGCCATACTGGAGAGAAGTGAGCAACACTGGAGCACTCTGCCTACCTGTGGGGCCCCCTTCCACACCTGGGCCTGGCGTTCTCATTCAGATCTGAGATGCCTTCCTGTCTGTAGACTGACCTCAGACCGACCCCATGCTGCTACTGAGTTGTATGACCACAGGCAAATTGTTCAGATCCCAGTCAAGTCATCTGTAACATGGAGATGATTATCTCTGCCTTCAAGATTCAGCAGAAACTGAGATAAGAACTTCTCAATGATAATAATGAGAGCTAATCTTTTTGAGATTAGCTCTTTCAATATTTGCCATTATCGCTCTATGCTCTGTACCAAAAATACCTTCAATCCTTGAAAAAACACCAGAAATAATTGTTCCTTTTATCACATCCATGTTATAGAAGGCAAATTGAGGTTCAATGAGATTCAGAAACCTAACATTTCTAGATTGTGAATCTAGGAAAGCCTACCCAAACCCAGGGTGAGTGGCACACAGTGAGTGTTCAAAAATATTAGGTCTTAATAAAATCTAAGTGTCATGAACTCTGAAATCAGGAATTTTGAATTCATAAAATATTGCCTAGAAAAAAAGTAGTTAAATAAGATAAGGTGGTAAGGTCTAGGAGAAAAGCCAAAAGATCAAGTCTTCTTAATCTTCCAATTTCTGCTTTGGTCTAAGGAGATGGAATTTTCAAACCACTGCATCCAATTGAAAGCTGAGCAAAAATGGGAGTAAGTTTGCATTACAGTAACACATATACAAAATAACACATTTTTGATATATGTAATTTGAGGATTATGAGATAAAGACATTATCTAGGATTGGAATATTATCTACCTTCAGACAATACTATTAATTCAGAGCCTGGGAGCACCAGCACCAATGACCACACATTGTTATCAAATCTTGGTTTTGAAAACATCCTTCCTCACTAAAGGGACCAGGGCTCCCTAGGGAAGTGGCTCTGCCCAGGCTAGCAGCAGTGAAGTGCATGACAAGCCAGGAGCATCTCATTGAAGCTTAAGGTATTTAAAGTAAGTGCTTAAAGATTTATGGGAACATCTAAAAAAGAAAAGGAGGAAAGAGCTGTGACTGGTCAGACATAGGTTAAGATGGTACCAAAATAATCAATGACAGTAATGGATTATAATACAATGAAAAAAAATAAGAACCCGTCTGTCAATATGAACCCAAAGAAATCAACAAGGGAGAAAGGAAAACTCTTCTTCATCATAAAACCCGACTCATAGATAGAAAAGGAATGTTGGAATTAGAAAATCATAAATGAGTCCTAAAAGGAATGGGTGACTGTTTAATAAAGAATAAGTCATCATGGGCCTCCCTGGTGGTGCAGGCGGTTGAGCACCGTGCTGTGAAGCTGTCCGCAGCCTCTGCAGCGCAGGTTCAATCCTGGCCGGCCAGGGAAATACCCACATGGCACAGCAGACCTCTCCTGTCTCGCCAGTTGCTTCCCTTAGAAGTGAGTTTCGGTCAGTCTGCCTGTTCTGTTCCCCACTCGTCTCTGGTGAATCCTCTCACCCTCCCTCACATCTGGCCTGTACCCTGGTTCTTGTATGCATGAATAAATAAATCTTTAAAAATAAATAAAGAATAAGGCATTTCCACAGTATCAAATTTTCCCCATAAATTACTTACTAATTTCCAGTAGGAAAGTACTAAACTTACAGTGAAGAAACATGGTGGACAACATCTTAATCGAGACTCAAAGTTAGCATCACGACATGGGAATGGTCTACAACATGTGCCAGGGGTCTCATCTACCGGAGAATACTACCTTCAACTGTAACGCTGCCCACACTGCATGATTTGAATATAATCACAAGGAAACATCAGATAAATCCAAACTGAGGGACAGTCCACAAAACAACTGGCCTGTTATTTTCAAAAATATAAAGGTAAGGAAAGAGAAAGAAGGGACTGAAGGAGTCAAAACAGAAACAACAAAATTCGGTGCATGACCCTGGACTGGATCCTATACTGTGAAAATGGCTACAAAAGATCTGAAGATAGCTGTTGAATCTGACGAAGGGCTATATAGCAGGTAGTGCTGCATCAGTGCTCAGTGTCCTGGTAACTGTGCTGTGTTTGTTATGTACGAGACCTCCTTGTAACTAGGAAACACATATTGAATGATGTTTAGGAGTGAAATTTCATGACATCTCCAACTTACTTCCAAACGATATAGGGAAAAAGTGTACAGGTAAAGAAAATTAAAAAGCAGTGGGGCAAATGTGGGTTAGCTGGGTAAAGCGGTTAGTAGAATTTCTTCTACTCCTCTTACAACTTTTCTGTAAGATTGAAAGTACGTAAGATTAAAAATTACAAGAAAAATCAGAAAGATAGATGGCACTGACATGGAGTATAAAAATTATATCCCATATGCAGCTTTCTATTTCTACCCCCTCAAATTATGCACTTAAATATTTTTTAAATGGACAGGAAATAGAAAATTTTTTAAAAGATTTATTTTATACAAGCACTGGGTACAGTCAGAAGCATGGGAGGGTGAGAGAATTCACCAGAGCCAGAGCGGGGAACAGAACAGGCAGACCGACGAAATACACTGCTGAGGGGAGCAGCAGGTACAGCAGGAGAGGTCTGTGCACCATGTGGGACCCCCCCACCGGCAGCCGGGGATCGAACCGGCACTGCAGAGGCTGCAGGCAGCTTCGCAGCCCACCGCTCAACCGCTGCACCACCAGGGGAGGCCCAGGAAATAGAAATTTTTAAAGGAATTTTTCATAAAAGACTATATCATCCCAACTCAATAATAAAGAGAATCACAGTCACATATAGTAACCAGAAAGTTCACCACTTACATGTTCAGTTAAACTATTAGAATCACTGGAATTGTAGGAACTGAAGTATTTAATGCCCAGCAGGATTCTGCCCATCACAGGTAGAAAACCACGCTACCCAGACTACAACACATAACCATATGCACAACTTCCTCAACTAGTAAGACTGAGCTATTTCAAAAGCAAGAAAATAACTACAAATTTTGGGTCATCTCAATATATGACAAAAAGGGTCAAAGGGACATCAAAGAAACTTTGTTCTATATCTCTGTCACTATTATAAAATTCACAGGTCACCTTTTGATTAGAGTGAAGTTGCATGCAAAGCAGGAAATAAAACCTCATTCTTAAGAGTGTAGAGCACTCATCGGCCACAAGCAGGAATCAAGATGCATTCTTTCGCGTGTGACATGAGAGGAAATGCACTTCTAAATAAACAAAACATTCTACCATCATGGAAGATGTATTATTTATGAAATGGTGAAAGGAGTAAAAATGAAACAAATAAATATACAGAACACCTCATTTCAAGTGACCCAACCTTCTATAACCCAAACTAAGCAAGGTAATTGATCAAAATCTGCAAAAAACACTTTTTAAAGGCTAAGATTGTGGAGATTAAAGAAAACTTGAATAGAAAAAGATCAAGGACTGGTGTAAAGCTAAAGCAGACCTGCTTCCTCATCCTCCTCCTCCTCTTCCTCATCATCGGAAGTTGATGACAAGGGAGTTGGTGCGGAGCTAGCTTGATTATTAACATAGTCACCATACTGCATTCCTGTAAAGTGGAAAGCACAAACACAAGAGTCAAACCAACAGGAAAGGATGAGAAACAAAATTTTGACATTGCATTAAAGTGAGAAAGAACTCTGACATTCCAAAGGACATCCCAGCATGCATATTAATATTAGCAAATTGATCGCTAAAACGGGAATCATTAGAAAATCGCTGCAAAGCATTCAGTAAAAGCATTTTTAACATAAACTGGTTTAAGTGTGAAAAAAAGTACCACGTGTGACCCTGATAATATTGAGGAAGCCACAATGACACACTGACCATTTCCCTGCGCTCTACACTTGTTTACCTGCTGTCACCTCGTGGTATGCTTCCTTTGGGACTGTGCACCCTTGCTGAGCAGTGATCATTTTTGGGGAATGAATCTACTCAGTATACAACACACTAAGACACTGGGTGTCTTCCTTCTGCTAAGGCCACCTTGATGGTGACTCACTTCCCATAACGGAAAAAGAATGACAGTTAAAAAAAAAAGAACTGCATTCAGCACAATTCTCTGCTCAGAGCAGATGCTCAAAAAAAAGGTGTATTAACTGTGGCCCCACAGTGTGTCGATTACAGCAGTTAGGGAAAGGTGACCTTCCTGAGATGACCAGTTTCCTCAGCTTCTACTGCCTACAGTGGGTCTCAGGCAGGTGCGGAAGAATGGCCCTCCACGTGAGCTACACCAAGAGAAGGCGGATTCTGTGGAAAAGTACAACCGGGAGCTGTGTAACACTGCCCGAAAACAAGCTGATTGGGTATTTTTATTAATTCATCTGGTGAAGTTGAGACTTAAAAAAAGTAATTCCCACAAAATTTTTAAGAGGGCAAACAGAATATACTTAATTAAAAATGAAAACACTTCATAAATAAGAATACACACCCTTGTAAGGAAAATCTTCTAGCTCAATTTTGAAAGAAAAAGAAAAACCCCACAAAGTGGATTTTCAAGAACATTTCCCAATACTGGAAGCACAAGGAAACCCTGCCGGCCAGGCACAGGAAGGCCCCTCTGCTGCCTCCTCTGTGTCAGGCAGGTGACGGGTTTATTTAGCATGGGGAAACACATCATGTCTACAGTAAAGACAAGGCTATCAATAAAGAGAAAATTTGAGCATAAAAGACAGCAAAGGTTAAACTGTGGCCAAGTGAAGCTTCCACCTTCCTATTAAAACCAAAGAAGCTGGAAAAATCTGCTGGCTTTACTGAAATAGCTTTAACCATAGTCAAAATAGCAATTAATACAAAATTATCTGCGAAAGTAAAAATCAATGTAAATAAACTCAGGCAATACAAGAACTAAACCTGATACCCTGAAAAACCAAATTCAGAGTGGCAAGTTCCTCTAAAAAAATCTAGTTAAAATGAAAATTTGAATAACATTGGACCTTAGATTAAATAAACTAGTAAGTTCACACTTAAACATAGTTAACAGTAAAAAGATTTATAGAAAAGAAATTTTCTTGAACTTAAGGACTTCTTTTAAAATGAAGTATTTTATCAAAATGCAATTAGCATTATTTAAAAAGTACACATGTAGGACCTCCCCGGTGGCACAGCGGGTGGAGCGCAGCACTGTGAAGCTGTCCACAGCCTCTGCAGTGTGGGTTCGATCCCGGCCGGCCAGCGAGGGTCCCACATGGCGCAGCAGACCTTGCCTGTCTCTCCCACTGCTCCCCTCAGCAGTGTATTTCAGTCGGTCTGTTTGTTCTGTTCCCCGCTCTGTCTCTGGTGAATCCTCTCACCCTTCACACCTCTGGCCTGTACCCCAGCTCTTGTATGCATAAATAAATAAATCTTTAAAAAAAAAAAAGTACACATGTACTATATAGTATGAAGAAGAAATAAGAAATTCCATTTACTGTGTTGAGCAAAGAGAAGCCAGCAACAGGAAAAAAAGTTAGAAGAGGAACTCTTATTTTCCTGACGGAATGATGGAATGAATATGCAAGTTGCTGATTCTGAGACTAGTCAAAGGAGCCAAAGTACAGGGTACATTCCACATAAGGTGAAGAGTTTCCTCTCTTTTTCCAGGTACACTGAGTACAAAATATATTTATTTCACTTATTTTTGGGAAAATATCCACTGTTAATTGGAAGCACATGAAATGCTATGCAATGATTATGAAAATTTATGGAACAACTACTGAACACACTGGAACTACCTGTGAAAGGAACGGCACAGAGCACTTTATGAATTACAGTATCATTTTAGATTACACTATGATCGCCAATGCACAAATAAACACAATGTGACCAACATAATTTAGTTTTAATTTTCTGAAAAACGGTGCAATCCTTTCCAAGGAATGCTGAAGAAGAAAAGGGTCAAGATCGAAAAGCCTGCCACAGTGTGACTTGCAGACTCAGAATTCAGCCTCTGTTTGCTTATTCAAGTAAAAATCTGTTAAAAGCATGGAAACATTAATGGCAAAGAATACGATATTTTAGTTAATCTACACAGGAATGGAAAGATTTTCAGAATAATAATTAATTCATATTTAATTTCCTGCTCCAAATGCAGCACAGGGAGCTGCAGCCAGACAGGTGACAGCCACCTCATCACTCCACGAGAGGGCAGTGGCTACGAGCTTCCTGAGTGCTTTCACTCACACCACCGTTAAGAGCCAGGGCCCAAGTGAAATACAGAGACAGCCTATTTGGGGTGGCAGAACATCAGATTGTCTTCCAGAGCTCAGCCTGAAACCGAGTGTGGAAATGTGCTTGGGGCACCTCTCACTGCAGCCACCACCACCATCAACCAGGGAGGGAAAGCTGTTCTCTAACTTACTGACCGGTGCCCAGTGAGAGGCGCCAAGGTATGAACCTAGGTATGAAAGAGGCAAGAAGCATTTCAAGATAGCATCTGACATGATGAAGAGCTCTGGATTGAGAACCCCAGTATTTTTAAAAGGACTTTCAGTTTAAACTACCTGTCATGAAAGTGTCTTCAGGCAAAACTCCAGGAGACCATATTGTTGGGACTGCTAAATAAAAGGCATTTCCACTGTTCCCTAGATACGGCTGCACTGGGAATAAACAGAACTAGTCTTAAGAGAAAAAAATCCCTTGTGGAGGTTAGTTTTTTTTTTTTTTTAATTCAAGAGTTCAGGCTATCTTTTCTCAGCTAGTCTTCAAACTGGATAGACACACAGAAGACTTTCCAAGGATTCTCACAAAAGAATGGTTTTATGAGAAACCATTAAGTTTCTCAAAACCATTTAAGTTTCTCAAAACTTATCCACCTAAATAAGTGCCTGTGTTAAAAACCTTTGTCTCACCTTTCAAAGGAAAAGCAAGCTTTAACTTTGTATAAGTATTACTGTATCTTATTTCCCTCAGGTAAAACAGTCCCTCAGGTGCTAAAGGGAAAGCTTCCTACCTCCTTACATATTAATCGATACACCCTAAATCTAGAAACCTTGTACCTTGTAATACGTTTCAGTAAAGATGAACTATGTTAGGAACAAGATCACTTCTCACTTAATGAAATTAAATTACAGAGCTCAGCCTGTAATGTATATATTACAGGTATACTGTAATATAATTCAGATACACTAAAAAGTAGGGTAGTAGGAATAATAATAAATTTATTTAATAATTCTGTGTGTATGTAGTCCCCAACCACTACTGTCAGAGAACCCAGTACTTTTGAAAGAATCCCATGACAACAAAGCAAAAAAAGTAAATAGTTTAATAGAGAAGCAACATGACATTGCAGATAAAGGTGAAAACTCTTAGGTTCAATTCCAGGCTCTACCACTTACAACTATTTGTGAATCCTTGGGCAAGTTACTAACTTCTTGTTCATTCTTTAAATCACCTGGAGAGTAGGGTAAAAACTACCTCAACTGGCTTTTGTGAGGATTAAGTAAATTGATATATTTTTTAAAGCTTAGGATGGAATCTGAAAATATATTAGATATTATATAAGTATTAGGCATTATTATCACTGTACATGTTTTTGTTGTATTTAATTAAAAATAATTTTCAGCTATTCTTTCTTTTTCTTTTCTTTCTTTCTTTTTTTTTAAAGTAAGACTAGAAGTCTGCCAGAAACAATTATGTGAATGCTGGCCCAGATGATGCCCTGTCTCTGCCCCTCATATTTTTTTCAGCTACTTTTAATACTTATCACTAGGGCAACTCATTCATTAATTAGGAAAAAGGGAAACTTCCACCAACCTCAGTATTCTTAGTAATGCTAACTCCTTTAAAGACAATGTTTTCTAGGACTACCAATTTTTTTCAAGCTATACTGGATAAAATTCATCAACAAAAATACTAAACATCATATTTCAGACTCAATATGAGATGCTCAATACTTTACAAACTATTACAAAATATCGTTAAGTATAAGCATTTCTCATATCCTTGTATTTTATACAATATTTAATTATTTCTACCTCCTCTTAAAATAAAAATGTTACCACACAAACCTATTGGTACCTAGCATAAGTTCTTCATTTTAATTAAATATATAGAAATAGAGCCTCCCTGGTGGTGCAGGCGGTTGAGCGCAGCACTGTGAAGCTGTCTGCAGCCTCTGCAGCGCAGGTTCGATCCCCACCAGCCACGGAGATACCCACACGGCGCGGCAGACCTTTCCTGTCTTGCCCGCTGCTCCCCTCAGCAGTTTATTTAAGTAGATCTCCCTGTTCTGCTCCCCACTCTGTCTCTGGTGAATCTTTTCACCCTCCCGCACATCTGGTCTGTACCCCAATTCTTGTATAAATAAATCTTTTTAAAAATATATAGAAACATTTTTAATATATGATGAAATTAATAATTTGTTTTTTATACTTGATTCTTATTTAAATACTTTATAAACTAAAATACCAGAGTTTAACACATACACTGCGTATATTTTGCCACAGGAATACAATACTTTTCAAGATAACCCTCACTCCAAAAGTAGTGTAATATTAATTAGGTACATATTATATTTTTTTATTTCAAATTCAGTAATGAGAAATAGCATACTGATTCACTGCCTAGATTTTGTAATCTACTATATAAAAAATGATAAATTCATTACATTATATCCTTGACATTTAAATTTGATGGCTTTTAGAAATTTGCCTTAGCATATACTGCAATTTATTTCTCAGTGTTCATGATACACCCTCAAACTCCAGGAATACAATTTCTTGGCTTAAAAAATGAAATCAGACTCTCTGAAAAAAATAATAAAATCTGTCTCTCAATTGGCTTGAAAATGAGGGTTGCTTTAGTCAATTGGGTTATAACATCATTCACAAAATAAATGAGCTGCATCACAGTTTTAAGTTTTGTATAAAAGTACATTTAAAGGGACATGATGTTATATTGGCAAAGGCATAATGAAATGGAGCATATTTTAAATGATTGCTGATTCAGTGAAAAGAGCACTGGATTTGGAGGCAGCAGATTTGCACTGGATCTTGGCATTCCTCCTACAGTTTCTATGTCTTTGGGAAAGACAAGCTCTCTAAACCCCAACTGCCTCATCTTTAAAAGGAAGATGAAATGATATGCCTGCTTCCCGTGAAGATCAAGTGAGATAATAAAAGTTAAAGGTAATTTAAAATTACAAACTGCTACATCAAAGTAACGCTAATGCTACCAATTATCTACAACCTTTGAAATAAAATCTAACAAACAGTAAAAATTTCTGACATGTAATTCCAAAGGTTAAAAAACAAACAAGAGATTGACATTCTCTAATAAATCCCTCTCAATATCATCCCATCTATTTTATGTGAACAGTTTCTCAGTAACTACATGTGTGAAAAGTTAAAACTATGAATGAGATTTCTCCTAAGGTTACCTTATTCTAACAATAAAACATATGCAAACCAGGAACATAAATTATGGTGGGGTAGGGGAGACCCATTCATCTCACTGAAAGATGGAGTTCCAATTTATACTTTCATAAATATACTTTCTTAAACAAAAACAAAAATCACAATGTTTATGTTGTTCTGACTGCCTATATACCAATAAAAGCTGTACTGATAGCTTAATCCAGGGGAAAATGGTTACTACTTTGACATTAATGGTCACAAGCAATAAAAACAATTTGAAATTTCAATTTTATATTATTGTGGCAAAGCAAGATAAAAGCGTTTTTACCTTAAGAATATATTATATATTATTACATTCTGTAGAGGGGGTATGATTTTATGGAAGAAAGGTAAAACAAATTTTCTGAATGCTCAAGATTTGGGTATTTTTTGAAGGGATGATGACAGGTTTCTTTTCAGTGGATACTGAGAAAAATGTAACATCTGTTTTAAAAGTCAACATATATGTTGAAAATTACATAATTGCAACTATTTAATATAAATTTTTATATATTAATCTAAAAAATGTTCAAGTAGTTACAGAGTTTTCCCAAAAAATTTTAGGGGATATGCACATAAAAATTTGAGACTTCACCTCTAAAAACCAGCAAAAAATGCTAAGTACTAGAGAGAATAACCAGGCAGGGGTATCTTTGAAGCTGGGAGAAAAAGACTTATTTCTTTTAAGTATTACTCTTTTAGTCATATCAGACACAGAGCACGCCCCAGGTAGGCCACAGCCACACACCTGTAAGAGGCACCTTTCACACAAACTACAACCTGCTCAACAAACACCGTATCCTAACTCATACAATTAGGTTGTGTGGCCCAGATCCATGCAGAGACAAAGAGGTAACTAAGAAACCTAGCTGCTACTTAAGAAAAAGGAACAATGAAAGCTGCAATTAAAATGTCTCCAGTATTAGCTGCCCTGTTAATTATTCAAGGAGCTTATTTTTGGTAAATCAAGAGTTTGTTAACAGCAAACAACAAAAACTCAGCCTCACTGTACAGAAAAGAGCACAAGACGGAAAGGTTTGAGTTAAAAATCTTTCACGCTGCTATTTTATTAACTTACAATCTTGGGCAAATTACCTAGCCACTGTGATCTCACTTTTCTCATCTGTAAAACAGGCATAATGTTCACATCACAGGGTTAAATGAAATAATAAACGTAAAGTACCTGGCATGTCATAAGTGAATAAATGATAGCTCCTCTCTTCAAATTTAATCAATAAGAAAAAAATGAAATATAATTGTGATTATTTAGTGGAAAGGTGGTTTACAAAATGATACCTATGATGGGATGGTGAGATGTTATTTAAAGTGAAATGGTCAAGAAGAAAATAAGGTATGACAAAGCAATCAGCAGGGGCAACATAAAGGTGAAAACAAGTGAGTGAGAGGGAAGGCAGGCACTCACTGATGCCTGGGAAAGCTGTGAGAAGACACCATTCCTTGGGGAGGGTTGCAGCCTACTCTGAGGTTTTGTCTACTGATTATAAGTAAAACTTTCCTACCAGCCCTTCACTTTGAAGGCAAACACTTGTGATAACTAGTCTATTCCCAGTACACCCACTGGCTTACTGGGAATCAACAGATACTCCTTGGACTTCCCATAAAACCAAGTAAGAAATAATATATAAAGTGATACATCATACAATATATAAACTGATCACTGATAGAAAAGCCTCTGTTGACCACATAAACATTTAACAGACATAAGTATAAGATCAACCTGAGGATTTATCATGCTTTTCCCCAATTTCAGGACATGAGCGAGTTCTTCATATTCAAGGTAGGGGGTGTGATTACAATACAAATAAGGTGCACTGTCTGTCAATGAAGCAAGAGTGTGGATTACAATTTCATTTTCATCTCTCATTCCCAAAATTGGGTCAAAAATCACTTGCCATTATTAATAGTGACAAGCACAGCAATCAACCAGTAGATATGGAGATTCACTAAATAAGAAATCTTGGGTGCTGTATCCTAAAAGAAAATTATAATAACCTGTAATAATTACAAAATAAATGTTCAACAGAATAATGGATTAGTAAATTAAAACACATTGACACAGAAAGGAATAGCCACGAAAATGACTATGTAGATATAGGAAGAACTGCATATAATAAGTGGAAAAGCAAAATCAAAATGGCATGTAAGCTATGATACAATAGAATCACAGAGATTGAGTGTTAATGTAGAAAAAAGAAAACTGAGTTTGTACTGAGATTATAAATCACTTCTTACACATTTTCTATAAATTATGATCACAGTTTAACTTTTAAGGTCAGCTACTTGAGTCAGCGTGTGTGTGCTATATTTGGTGTAAGGAATTATACAAATACCTTTCTGTTGTAATAACTCTGCTGGCTGCGTAACTGAGGCCACAGGCTCAAGTGGGTGATTCACAGCAAGAGGTGTTCTTGTTGATGAGTTTCCTGACAAAACAGCAGATACTACAGGGCTGGACTTGCGAGGCTGCACATTTTGTATAGCAGGACAGGCTAAAGACTCTGCAACTGAAGACAAGAAACCATTTCATCCATAGCAATAAACTTAATATAAGTTAAAATATTAACAAGATAATTTATTTGAAGTTATTGTAAAAACTTCAGTAGCATCACTTTCATCTAGTGTATCAATAGCTAGAAAATGAGTGGTCCAAAAAAATGATTTTTGAAAGCTCACCAAATATTTTAATAATATTTAATGCCTATTTTCCTAAAGTGTTTCACAAGTGTCCTTACCTTCTTACGTTAAGTTGAACCCAAAATAGTAAAGATGACCATCCTTACTAATGATCACTACCATTGATAGTAATTATTGCACCATGCATGGCACCTCAGGTAAGATGAACAGAAGTTATTTGCTTCTGCCATTTGTGAATTCCAGACACTTCCAGCTTCAACTCAAATTTCATTTTATATTATAAACTGCCACTTCTCATTGGCTGTCACTAATCAGTTGCTGTATTTCACAAATAACCAACGGCAGGCAGGCTTAATAGTAACACTAGGTTGAACTTCTGGAATAAAACACATGAATTCTGTGATAGCTCAAATTACCGGACCTAGAGGATAATCTTCAGCCAGCCAAGAGATCATTGGAAAACCTATCACAACAAACTTAAGGACATTAACAAATGAATGGAGAAAATGTGATAGATTTTACATATACACATACACACACAGATGGGTGAATAAAATGTGGCATTGTTGTGTGTGTACATCTACAACACACATAGACAAATACAGATGTGTGCACTGGAATGCTATCCAGTCATAACAAAAGGAAGTCTTGTGCTTACAACAACACGGATGAATCTTAAGGGTATTGTACTGAGATAAGTCAAATGGTGCATGACTTAAACTTATATATGGAATCTAAAAAATAACAGTCATAGAAAAGAGGGCAGAATGGTAGCTGCTACGGAGTGGGAGAAACAGTGAGATGTTGGTCAAAGCACAAGCTTTCAGTTATGAGTAAGTCCGGGGATGTAATTCTATTATGGCGACTATAGCTAATAATGCTGTATAATGAACCTGAAAGTTGCTGCAATTAGATTTTAAATGTTCTCACTACACACACACTCTCACATACACACACACACTCTCACACTCACTGTGTAAGATGAGGGCTGTGCCATCATGTGTGGCATTACAGTGTTTCAGACACTGCAGGACTGCATATATGACTTGGTCCCGATACACAGCCGAGCTGCGTGGTTGGGTGCACAGCTAGGCTTGTGTAAGTACAATCCATGATGTTCACACAGCAATAAAATTGCCTAATGATGCATTTCTCAGAACATAACCCTGTTGCTAAGCAACAGACTCTATTACTGTGAAATCACTTTGCAAAACATGTGTATCAAATCATCACATCGTAAATCTTAAATTTACACAGTGTTATGTCAATTATATCTAAATTAAGCTGAGGGGGAACCTAAGGCAAAAGACTAGGAGTGAGTGAAGATGTCAAACATATATACACAGAGATAGATACAGGCACAGGTACATATGCGTACGTATGTATGATGCAGGTGTGTCTCTCTCTATACATGTGAATTCACAGAGAAAGAATCTTAGGTTTAAGACTGAAACAAATGTAAGCATATGATGACAAAATGTGTTAAATGTGCCAACAGCGTACAAAAAAATATAAAGACAGAGGAACGGGGAAAGAAGGTGGAGTTAGTCTAACTCTGCTGATTGCTTCACCCTTTTTAGGAAGGACAAATATTGTCATGGGAGACCAAGGCACAGCCATATTTGGCGTTCCTCTCAGTAAGAGGTGGCGTCTACGCCCCTAATGCCTGCATGGGAGTGACCTCACGACTGGTTTTCATCAACAGAATCCAGCAGAAGCAATGGTATCTGAATCCCTGACCTCCAATCTTACGAGGCCTTGTAACTTCTGTCTTTCTGTTCCTGAAATGCCTGCCCTGAGAATATCAAGTAGGGAAGTTAGTTTAGTCAAGTAGAGAAAAGCTCTGATGCCCCAGTGAACCGATACCAACTGCTAGACACATGAGTGAAGGCCTCCCATCTTCCAGTCCTGCCAGCTCTCCAGTTAAACGAGGTCAAAGGAGGAGCAAGTTGAGGAAAAACCAGCAGAGACCACAAAATCATGAAAAATAATAAATTATATTGTTTTATACCAGCACTGTATCACTGAATAGCCAATTATTAAAATGGCTAAAATAACAGTGTTAAGTATATTTAATAGTACAAAGTAAACACTTAAGAAAGAGATAATCACCCAAAATTAGGTGACAGAGAAAAGGGAAGGAGTATGGAAAATAGAGAAAATATACTTATTTTACCTTTGCTCATAACAGGAAATTATAACTCTCTCTATAAAACAACATTGTGCATGCCTCTGGTGGAGGATGGGTGAGGTTAAGCAGGACCAAAATTCCTACCAAACTAACTTTTAACTCTAAAAGCTATGTTTAAAAATATCTTTTTAACATCATCAGACCTATCATGGTGTTAATGAACTTCTGGGCCAAAATCTCTTAAGACACTGAAAACTCAGATAAATAAGCCTAACCTTCCAGGCTGCCATTACTCTGTGGATACTGGCTGCACAATATCTGCACACCTTGTCTGACGTTTGCTGGGGCCTGGAAGGATATGACAGACAGAAGGCACATCCCAGGACACATCCAGGCTGGGACAGCTGATAAGGCATCTCACACTGCACTTTTAAGACAGTGGTTTATCATCGTTTTCACAGCCAACACTAGGGCTAAAACAATGCAACTAGAGCCCATTTCGCTACCTAAAGGACCAATGACTAGGTATTCAAATAAAATGTAATTTTATAATTATTCTTAGATGCTATTCAATATATTTTTTAAAATAATAGGTTCAGCTGAATTTGTCTGTTTGTTAGCCAAATGGTTCCGTATTTCTCTGATCCTATATCTTAACAGAAGTTGGTTCCATTCAGGGTCCCATTCCCATCTCAGAAATAAGATAGGAATTGCCTGTATTCCTTTTTTGTCATGAAAGTCAAAGAATCCTTAAGTCAGAGGGACATTATAAGCTGATCTGCAAAAGGACAGATGAAAGAGAGAAAGAAAACAGAATTTCCAGGGAGCAGAAAGCCCTGATTCTGAGAAGGGCAGACTGAGAGTCAGAAGAAACTGAGACCCAGAAGCAGCTGCTTCCAACTTAATGACCACAGGTAACTCAACAGGGCTAGCTGAGAAATATCCTAAAGTTCTAATTCTAATCTAATTAGAAAAAACTAAGAAGAATTGGCAAGAAGAATTCTTTACAACACTCCTGACATAAGGTTATCCAGACTCTGACATACAATCTAAAGATTCAAAACACTACCACGGCTTTACCAATGCCCATTCCTTACAGGAATTTTTATTCAGTTCAAGAGCAGTTCAAGAGTAGATTCTGTTCTGCTCAAGTTCACAAGCTGAATGAAAATGAGTATGAAAGCCCCCTCACTGAAACACTACATACCTTAACACATAATTTTTAAACCAATCAACCACATTTTGGTTTAGGAAGATCAGAAAGACTAACTACAAGGGTGTTCTTCAAGTGTTTCTTCCCCTTTCCCGAATCTTATCCTAACTTGCCATTCTGAGAATGAGAAAACATCAGCTTTAATGCGTAGGAAATAAATCTTCTGTGAGTCATTAATAGGTAAATTAGAGGAGACGGTGTAGTTACACTTGGCATCATCTGTTCTGCAGCAAGGTGCTGGCTGGAATACGCGTTTTCCCAAGTTGAGCTAGTATGAAAAAGGAATGGCGAACAAAGCACACATGCCAAGAGACCCACCTACTTTCCCTGCCATCTAACTCACATTAAAGACAACCACTACAGACACCTATCAGTGTATCAATAAATCAATAAATATTGACTGAGATGTCAATAACGACAAAGACTCAGGTGACACAAGGCAGGCAGCTGGGCAGCTAACTGTGATGAGATGAAAGGGAAAGGTTTGGGCGATGATGCAAAATAAACAATTAAAAAAGAAAGAAATTGCAAAGATGAGCTAATTTCCAATTTTTCTATTGGGCAATACCATCTCCAAGCTTCATGCAAATAAAACCCCAACTGGAAATGCACTCCTTTTCAGCCACGCTCTGTGACCTTTTCATCAAACTTACCGGTATTTGTTGGGTTGTTGCTGGCTGACACCAGGGAGCCAGTGTGGTTTCGGACGAGATTGTCTTGGGTCAAGGGAAGGCCTGAAGCTGACCATGAGACAGTGTTATATCCTGAAAGACTCTGCTGCTGCTGGTACTGCTGTGAGGGCACAGGTGGAGGAGGGAGCAGCGATGGGTGGGTGACGGCTGCACTCTGACCAGGAAACAAAGGCTCTCTAACGGGCCTGACAGTCACAGCGTTCTGTGAGGTAAACATTTGTTGCCCATATGGATCACCAGCAGGCAGAGAGGGATATGAAACACTAGGATACGAAGGATTAGAAACAGTTGACAGAGTGTAGTGACCACACGTGGAGGGAAATCCCTGAGAAGCAACAGAAGAGCTGGCAGAGTACACGGCGGGACTACTGTAGTGATTCGCTAGCGAGGAGTAGGGCTGGGAGGCACTCGTATGCAGATGGGAGGCTGATGATGCGGCACCTTGGAAAGACCCTGGAGTGGATCCCACAACATGAGGGGCAGGAGGACCCCTGCCATACATCTGCTGTGCTCCTGGCTGTTGGTTCGCTGTGTTAGGAGTTACCAAATTTTGAGTTGGTACTGGATAGACACCAGAGTAGTAATTACCACACTGGCTCTCCAATGGCAATGAGGTCATTTTCCCAGGTCCTGGAGGGTAATGTCCTGAGGGAGTAATATAGTTTTGAGGATGCAATCCATACCCAGATGGAAGCTGCATTTGATTCTGTGCTGGACCTGAAAGAGAAAAGCAAACATTTACGGAGATTGGTAAGGAGGTAATTTTTAAGCGTCAGTTCCAAGAAACCGTCATCCCAATTTACTTCTCTATACTCCCAAATTGTCACAAAATATATAGTTATAGACCCAAGGTAGTAGCTAGTTCCCAAGATGGCCTCCAATACGCACAACTTATGATATCTGCAATTGCATGTGAATTCATGCCCTCCCACAATGTACCAGGATTAGTCTGTGCAGTCAGCAGCACAGAACTGAGGTAATGATATTCACTTCCAAGACAGCCTAGTCCTGGGTTCTGGTTCTCCTGGACTGTTCATCTGGAAGCACAAAGCTGTCAGGCCATGAAGAGCCCTGTGGTGCTGCCCATGTGGTGAGAAACTGAAGTCTCTAACCAAGAGCAAAGCAAAACCAAGGCGTGCCAACAATCCCATGAGCAAACTTGGAGGTGGAGCCTTCATACCCTGCAGTCTTCAGAAAACTACAGCCCAGTGGACAGCTTGACTACAATCTCATGACACCCCCCAGAACCAGCCATTAGGCTGCTCCCAAGTTCATGATGAGAATAACTCTGTTGCTTTAAGTTGCTAAGGGTTGGGCCATACTGTTATGCAGCACTAGAAAATCTAAAAGGCTTATAGCAGAGAAATTCAAATCCTTTTTACAATCTTTTAAAAAGAAATACAAAAGTAAACAATACGGGCCTTCCCGGCGGCACAGCGGGTTGAGCGCAGCACCGTGAAGCTGTTCGCAGTCTCTGCAGCACGGGTTCGATTCCCGGCTGGCCGTGGAGATACCCACATGACACAGCAGACCTCTCCTGTCTTGCCCGCTGCTCCCCTCAGCAGTGTATTCAGTCGTCTGCCTGTTCTGCTCCCCGCTCTGTCTCTGGTGAATTCTGGTGAATTCTCTCGCCCTCCCGCGCCTCTGGCCTGTACCCCAGTTCATGTATAAATAAATATTTTTCTAAAAAAAAGTAAACAACACTCATTGCAAAACAAATTTTTTCAAACAATGAAGACTGTGAAAAGTACAAGAAAGCCCCCTTCTCTCTCTGGTAAGTGACATCCTGTCTCCAAGAGGCAGGTGCATAATGGTTTCCTATGTATCCTTTTCACACCTACGTACACATGTAATGCATATTTTAGCATATAAAGTTTTTAAACACAGGTAATCATTTTACAGTTCTGTAACTTGCTTTTTTTTTTTTAACTTAATATATCCTAGATATTCTTTGGGTTAGCGTATGTAAATCACTTTTATTCTTATAAATGAGTATTTATGGTGAATATTTCCGGAAGTGAATTTATATGTATGAGGTGTCAACTTCTGTGATGAAGCTGTAGTGTAAGTTCCTAGCAATTAAACTGGAGGTTCAAAGGGTTATGTTTTTTGGATTTGACTGTTACTGCCAAATACCTCTTCAAAAAGGCCAATCAATGCCCATCTTCCAGCAGTAATGCTCCAGAAGCCTCATCTTCCCAACACTGAGTAATATTTTAATACTGCCAAGCTGGTTAGTAACAAACGCTAGCTTGCAGCACTTAACTTTGAGTGATGCTGTGACTCTCTCCAATATTTCTCCGTCATTTGGGTGTTTCTTCTTTGATGGTAAGTTTTCAAATCATGCTTAGTAAGCCTTTCCCATTGCAATATTATAAAACTATAGTCCATGTTTTCTTCCAGCATATTAATGCTTTCAATATGCAGTATTTATATTTTTGATCATTATAAAATGTATTTATTAATATCATAAAAATTACTATTAAATCTATTCATAGCAGTGCCTCCCCGGTGGCACAGCAGGTTGATAACAGCACTGTGAGGCTGTCCGCAGCCTCTGCAGCGCCAGTTCAATTCCCGGCTGGCAAGGGAGATACCCTCATGGCACGGCAGACCTCTCCGGTCTTGCCCGCAGCTCCCCTCAGCAGTGCTTTCAGTCCTTCTGCCTGTTCTGCTCCCTGCTCTGTCTCTGGTGAATTCTCTCACCCTTTCGCACCTCTGGCCTGTACCCCAGTGCTTGTATAAATAAATAAATCTTTAAAAAAAACATCAATTGTATAAATAGTAAACAAATTACACTGTGTCACTCACTATTCTAAATGCCTTATTTATTTATATATCGAATGACTTTTATCCTCTTCAATCTCCCTTGAAGTAAGTGGTATCATTATATACACTTTATAAGTAAGATAAATGAGACACAGAAGTTGCTTAAAACAACCACATACTAAAGAAGCAACAGGGCTGGGATCTGAATCAAATTCATGATTTAAACAATGATCCGCTTTCACTCTCTACACTAAAATCTGGAGGGCTTTCGTTAGCCCAACAAATGGTTAGTTGTCCAAACAACAGAAATTTTGATTGGGTTCCAAATAAGGGCAATTCAATAATCCTAAAATCTAATCTTCCCATTTTGAAGAGAACAGATCCCTGTGCTATACAAGTGAAAGGATAGTATTTACAAACTGACTCAAGTTCACCGACATAAAGGAAGTGCCAATGAATCCTTTGCCATAATTATATATAAAAATATAAAAGATAAAAACATTCGTTCATGAAAGGCACAAAGATAAAACTTACTTTTCCTTATTCAATGTGGCATCTTATTAATCTTTGGTCAAGTAAACGCATATTCTATGGCAGACACAAATTTAACTTACACAGTCAAGCTGTAAAGAAAAAATAATAGCCACATTTCTATAATACTGAAGACAGAGAACCAAAACTCAGATGACACTGTTTAACCAGGTGTATAATTTATTCTTACAGGGTATTTCACAAGGTCATAGTTCCCCTGAAAGAATTTATTTACTTAAAATGAAAAAAGCCTAATAGGAGTCTTTTGTTAAGACATCAAAAAATAAAGTGAAATGTTCTCCCTCCCTAAAATATTTATAAAAAGAGAAATTTGTCACTTTTCACTACTGTGTTAGAAAACTCTACTCAGGTAAGAATTTATCAACTAAGGGAAGAGCCAAGTGGGCGTTAGATCTATTTAAGTTTATACTCACTTAATGACTGATTTGGCATATCCATGCTACATGATCTGAAAACAGGGAAATAATCATCATCATGTCTAAGCTACTCAAATGTCATTCTTCTAAAAATAACAAGAATGATGTTGCTGGTGAAATTGATCAGACCTGAATTACCTACCAGAAGAAGTCTACTTATTTCTCAGCAAAGATAAGACTCATTTTGGACATGCGAAGATGACAGCAGATAACTATATTAATGCCTATGACTTCTTACTCTATATCAAAATCTAAATGACAAGTATCTGAAAAAGCACCTGAAAACAATTTAATCAAAAATGATAAACAAATCAAGAATTCTTTGAAAGCAAATTGTTTCTTTTCATATATTTTAAATCATTTTTTGAAAGTATGAACCTAAAAAAAGAGAGTTGGGGCAAAAACACAGGGATTAAATTGAAAGAAAAAAATCTAGGACAAGTAAAATATTTTTTAAAACTTTGTCTTACCGTGACCTAACAAAAAATGCACTTTCTTTTCATTAATTTTAAAATACATGCAACAACTCTTCTTTAAGATGTAACACCGAAACTAATATTAACATTTTACTTCTTCTGTATAAAAATACTAAAAACTAAGTGTGGCAATTATTATAAAGTTTATATATGCCTATATTTGTTCTTAAAAACAACATAGATTGTACAGAAAATTATTAGAATTTCATTAATATTAGCATTTTTATTTGCCTGTATTTTCCTCAGCAACTGCGGCAGTTTTAAAACATAGTCAGTCCCTAAATCCTTTGATATTCTGGGTCCATATCTACACTCCTTCATTCTGAGCAATGGCAGAGGAGAAGCTGTGTGACTTTCCAGGTGTGGGCACAGGTAATCAATCAGCTTCTGTACTGTTTGAAGGCACACTTGCATGTGGTCCCTGAGCTGCCACAGAGGAAGTCCAATTACTCCAGAGCTGCCTTGGTCTGAGGAAGCCAAGCCCCAAGAAAAGGTCACATGGTAGTACCCTGGTTTGAAGTCTGAGTCTTTGAGTCATTCCAGTCCAGGTGCCAGATATGTGAATAAATGAGCCTTCCAGATTATTCCAATCTCCAGCCACTGAATCTGAATCACTCCTAAGTTTTCCTAAACATCAGAGCAGTGTCCTATCTAATTCCTGATCAACAGAATCAGCAAGCATAATAAAGTGGTTGTCTTAAGTCATTAAGTTTGGGTGTGATGTAATATGTAGTAATAGCAACTGGGAACAGCAACTAATTACTATTTTTAAAAATTCAGATTCTAAAACTGAAATACATCCACTTCTACTAAACACAAAAGAAAACGTTATCTTCAAATAAGTTAAACATAATTTGTGTAAGTATGTACATAATGCACTAAGCTGTCCTATTAGAAAAATAGTTTCTTCTTAGAATACATTATCCGAGTGCTGTAAAGCTTAAGTAAAATACGGGAAAAACAGTGCAGGTACCCTCAAAAAGAACAAAAAGGGAAACAACTAAGGGCTGAGAATCAGGTCTTTCATGACAGCAAAACTGCTGGAACACAGACATGTGCTCTGTTCTGCACTGTTCAACAAGGCAACCACCAGCAACTGTGGTTACTGAGCAGTGAAATTGGGCTACGCCTAACTGGTAAGTACTACAAAATAAAACAAACAAAGGATTTTGAAGAAACAGTATGGAAAAGGTAAACATGTCTCAGTAACTTTTTAACAATGAATACTAGTTAAAGTGATAATACTTGTATATATTGGGATAATTGGATAAATTAAAATTTATTTTACTTACATCTTTTTTATATTTTAGTATATTTTCTAGACAATCTAAATTATATATGTGATGTGTATTAACTCCTACAGAATGCTGCTACAGCAGAAAAGACAAAGGGAAATTAATCACAGCTTATATGGAATGCTTTTAACCTGGATCTAAATACTTAGACATGAATAGAAATATTAATTATAAAAGTCATTTTGAGGTACTGCCAAATCTCATTAAAG